CAACAATCTTCAACAGCATAAACAAAAGTCATATCAGTCCATTTTACTATTCTAAAAGCTTTCACTGTTTTTTTTTGTTGTTGTTGTTTTTTAAAGCAACATTAATCGTAACAGCAACCTTCATGGTGAAGGCTTTGCAGGCTTTAATTAGCTATGAGCACCTCTGCTGCTAATTTGAGTTCTGCATCTTCTTTTTAAAAACTGACTCAAGACACAGAAAGCCGCCCGCTTCACTGGTGCTAAATTAGCAAATGTATTTCCTACTAGAGGTGATGCTTGTAAAAGCTGTAAACACTCTGCAGCTGCAGATGTTTTGGACATGGCTGGTTCCTGATCCAGTGTGTTTAACTTAGTTTGGTGGCGATCATAAACATAGATCCTAAAACCCAGACTGCTCGGTGTGGTTTTCACCCAACGCTGAATAATACAGCCACGACAACATCTCCCTGCTTTTACCGGGTTCTGCTCCAGAACACTTCATCCCTCTAAAATGGAAATACACGATGGGTAGACTCACAAAGTGCTACAATAAAAAAATCCTTGAAAAGCTCAGATTTTCACCAAAAGGAACCCTGAAATCTTTCTGCAACACTTAAAGCTTCCAAATAATCATGACTAATGATGAATTCTTTCTGATGAGGAAGCAAGAAAGACCATCATTCTTCTTTCCTTTAGTCTACCATGAGCCTTTTTACTACAGATAGACAGATTATAAGCCTGGTGGATTATCGTGGCTGTGTATTTGGCATTTTTCCAACTATCAGTGTTTTTATTGACTGACAGATTAAATGCACTACTTCAGGTCTGATGCAAAAAACCTCTCGCTGTCTGTCGTAACTCTGCGGTCCTCAGAAATGTTCCTTAAGCAGAGAAGACAAAAACTGAACAAGAAACACAAGCCGTCGCCACAAACCAGGAAGTTAGCTCCTCTCATAGCGGCTAAAGCTATGCTAACGGCTAGCTGCTAAGTTAGACGGCAGCCACAGATGAACCTGAGTCTGGAAAACAATAATTAATAAAGCTGTAAGATGTGGACCTCAGTGAGCAATAAATCTCTTACTGCCAGAGTAGCAGAACAAGTGTCAGCGTTATACCTAAATTATGACAAACAGCAGCACATAAACTGTGATAGTAAAGTATTAAAATGACTCTGACAGCAGTAAAATTTGACATCTGGTCCCTGTTGGA